GTGTCTTAGCATTACGCTGCGCATTCTGTTAATCTGAAGAATGGGTATTACCGAGAAACTTGACATGTACAGTAATCTCTGTCTACGTCTAAAGAAAACGTAGCTTATAAAACTATAACAGCTTGAGCATACAAAGTACTTGTCCGTGGTGTAGATATTTGTACCAGACTATGTTGACTGAATGATTTTCGCTGAGTGCTACTTGAACGATATGCCAGTTAGAGTTCAGATTCAAAACTATTCGTTTGTTCTTTCAACTGACTCCGCTTCACTCTATGTTTGCTATGGGGTGACCCGTGACAGAAACTGTATTGTCGAACATGAACTTTGATTCTTGTTAACATCCGGTGTTTCCTGCGCACTTAGTTACAGATAAGAGTGGGCGTCTGGGGGAAAATCGTAGGGAGCTGGCAAACATATGAGCTCCCCTGATCGACACAATAAATTTCGACGTGGCCATAACACAGTCTGGGTTTTGATAGGTAAATGATTTATACGACTTGTTGTGGGGCCCGATCGTAAAATTTTATGATTAGCAGCCAGAAGGAAGCTGATCATTGCTTCCTGTGACATATATACATATATATTGAGCTGAATGTTGAACGTCATTATCTGGAGTGTTGATAAGACGTGTGCTACGTGTGATACGTGGTCTGTCTATACTTTTGCCATGCCAGGGGGTTTGCTATTTAAGATCATTAGGGAGAGAGGAATCCACGCATGTGCCTTATTCACTCCCACAAAGGAACATAACGATCAACGCCGAAGCTAGGGTAATTTCTTCACGTACATCAATATAATTGATTCTAGTGCGAACGGAACGTTTCCTTAGGTTCGGAAGATTAAGGCTTGGATTATAATTTTTATTGTACACATTTGCTAGTGAATACCAGATCTCCTAGGAGAAAGGGCACATTATTATGTTTACTGAAGAAAGACATATTGTTTTTGCTCTGTTTCGTCTTCTTCTTCTCCAAACAAATAGGGTCAATGACCTGAACCAGAGGTCTGTAACCATGGTAACTAGTGTTAGGTTACATCATGTTGCAATTCTATAGTAGGAGGGATTTAGACTCCTGTCACCATGTATATTAATGTGTTTGAGTAAGAATATTAAGAGAGCAGACCACATGCGAAGTTAAACATTATGCATTTGCTTTGCAAATGTTACCTTTCTAGTTACAATACAAGCATTGTCAGAAGCATGATTTCTATTATGTACAAACTTCCAGGATTTCCAGACCACCTCCTGGTGTACCCCCCTCACCCTGGTGTACCCCCCTCACGTTTGTACTTGGCTCTACGCTCGGTAATGACCGGAAAGGCAGACGTGTTTGTGACGGGTTGTTGCCCGGATGTTCTTTAGAAGATTGCCGAACGACCGAGCGTGACCGACCATGCCCTGATTCTGTACCCTCCCCACAGTACATAGGACTGTATCAGATCGTACGCTGTTTCAGTGGCAATGTAGGCAATTTACCTTTAGCTTTGGTAAAAGATACATTACAAGAATACTGTACGGCCGATGGTGCCAGGACTGTATATGTGCCCTCCCCACATTACACATAGCGATATACAAAACAATTTACCTTTGTTGTCGTTTCTATAGAAAAAAAATGAAACGATATTCTCAGAAAATTAATTTTTATAGCGCCTGTCATATGACACAGAAATATCGGTGCAACAGAGATTACAAAGTCTTTATTTTGCTGATTTGACATTTCTTTGACAAGTATTATACGTCTACTTCAACCCAAACCCTATCACTTGAAATGTGTGAGGTCAACAAATGTTTGAGATTACATGTATATGGTTTTACACATTGTTAGTTACAGCTAGAAGCAACATTACCAACCAAGTAACGCGTGACAATGATGATATCAGGCAGTTTCATGCTTATGGCTTAACTCTGAATTATGTATGCAAGATATAGGGACAGATCAAATTTAATTTGCTCCATTGCGAGTGTCGGAGGGATTTCCATTTTGCTACACGTTTTATCGGCTAACATACGTTTTGCTTTAGTTGAATGTGCAATATTGACGTGATGACTATTTTGTTAAAGACGTCCAATGCGATTTCAGAGCAGCAAAAATGGAAATATTCTGAATAAGGCGATATTAATGATATTAACACATACTGCTTCACATTAGCACATTTCAATCAGTATTTCATACTTTGGGCATTTAAACTGCAAGCCCCAATATGAGTCCTTTATTTTATGGGTGGTACCCGAAAAATCAGCCAAGGGCCCTATCAGAATTTGTGCTCCATAAGGGTCAATATACATTGAGACAGTGTATACTGTATTCTCAGTATATAAAAAAGTGACTAGAATATTGAATGGTTGAAAAATCGGGTTTCCCAGCCTCAAAAACCTCACATGTACAAAAACACCAATTGCCGGAGGTTTGAAAATACCGACTCTAGTGTTTACGTCCCTTGTTTCCAATTATATCAGCCCATTGCAAGACGCAAACGTTACGTCTGTAGAATTAATAGAAGCGATTAGAAAGCTTCATTAAGGCTGAGTTCTAGTCACGCTGCAATCTGGGTATAATTGACAACACAGCTGCCTTTTCTTCCACTTCATTGATTCGAGCTTCTAACATTGACTACCTGTTGTGTGAATGGATAGATAAAGCATTGCCAAATTTGGGAAACGTCTATAGTGATCACAAATTAGTATATGTAACTGTATATATAACTATAACTGTATATGTAACTACTCTTATCGATTCGCCTGATAATTATCAGGAATAGCATGTAATTGTGCTCTAACTGCTGTTGGTGTAGTTATGTTTTATTATGGAATTAATCTATAATTCTGTTACGAGTGTCGTTACTGATAGGAAAACGGGAAATACGTAAACCTATGCTGTTAATTCTTTGAGACAGACTGAAAAGGATCGCGAAGATCTGGAAAGGACAAAATATATAGTTTTTAGGCTACCACTGCCGACATCAGTTCCTGTTATTATTTTGTCTGCGCTCGTGGCCCAAAATTTTGTGTGAAACGTAAATTCCTATCCTGTGCAATTTTTCCCATACTCATTTCCCCTTTCTATTTCCGCTTTCGTCCTTCTGGCGGAATGTCGACCCTACTGAAAATCCCTGATGCCACCACGTCCAAACCCCAAGTCTTTGGCAAAGATACCACATTCTTGGCTCTACTGGCACAAAAGGGTACATCACACGGCAAGCATGTAGAAACATGGTGCCAGACATACTGCCCTGTAAGGCAGTTTGCCCGTCTGTGTCTGGTGAAATAAGCGGAATCACATTTGATACACCATAAGTGAGTTCTGAATACGTTCCAAAACAGCGTCTCTAATGGCAGGCTCACATTCATATAATCTTTTGAGTTTAGAGGAGTTAACGCTTATCTTTTTTTAACAAGGGGGGGGGGTGACCACAGTGGATAGAATTTTCGTGACCTAATTTTGTCTGTTTGTTTGTTTTACATTTCTAATGTCCAACACTATACATATCTCGCCGAGACAAGCATATTGATTGTAAGTTAAAATTCCTTTCTACAATTTCTATTATTTAATTTGATTAATCGAGGTTCCGTGGTAGTGTTGTTGGATTATGAATGGAATTATCACATGGTTACTTCTTGCTGGAGTTGAAATGTAGGCGTTGAAGTGCTCTTCTGTATGCGGCCGGTATCACGTAGGCCACGGGCTCACTAGCGGTCATGTATGAATGAGTAACATTTTGCACACGGCTATCAATGATGTAGGTTCCAGTGTCATATTATGTACATAATACTGATACTGACTTAGCGAAAACGTTCCTTCAAGTAGACTACAGCAACTATCAAAATGGGATGAGTGATCTTTGCAACCATTTTCTTTCGGTGTATCGTCACAGGTCGTCACTTGAGATGCTAAAATACACAATTGGACTCATGACAAGCTACAGTAGAAGCACAAATTTAACGATCATATGTCCATTAGCTTGTCAAGGCCAGAGGTGATATAAAACCGGCTCTAGCAGCTTTCCAATCTTACACTTGGGCGATAATCTAGGTCAAATGGAGGCAGGCAGTCCGAAAATGGACATGTCAATGAACCCTATGATGCCACGCCCACTCGACTATTCCTTACCATCGGGGTTCGATTTTAAAGAAGAGGCGCTCCACACATTCAAATAGAAAACTCTCTGTGACGTTCCTGACGCCACACAGTCCAGTTTTTGTTTGTTTTTGTTTTGATCGCTTTTTTTTGTCCGTGTTCAGTTAAGCCTGTTCAAGGTTTCAGAAGCGACTGGATAGAGAAGAAATTGGCCAAAAAGACAAACTGTACTCCTTTAGTGGACCAACTCTACTGGAATGTTATAAATTTGGCCAATTTCTACTCTTTCCAGCCCTTTCTTGAGCCTGGTAGAGGCTAGTGTTCAGCTGTTACAAGAGACCTTGGAGATGACATAAATCATTCGTCAGGCGGTACCGGGTGAATGACCGCCCCACTTTCCGACCCTGTTCTATTCTCACAAGCGGGGCGATTCTGTAGTCTCCATTTCTGCCCCGCTGGTTGGCGGCCACGATTTCAGACCACGCGAAATACAAACCCTGAATTTGAGCCGTATACGTGTCAACAGACTAAAAGGCCACTAGCTGCCCCCTGGCCCTAAACGTTATTTAAAACAAGCAAAGCTATATGTACGTGTCTACGTGACCCTAGCCACCAACTTGACATTGCCACCAACTTGGATGTCAGATTTCCTGCAGTCATAAATTGACATTTTATGAAGCGCCTCTATCCATTTTTGTTCGGTATTATGTATACTCACTAAGTCCATGCTTACAAAATACCACCATACACTAGACTAGTCCGAATAGACATGCAAAATGGAGTGACCCACAGTCTGAGAGTGCACATTATTTGTGTTCGGAGGAAATTTAAATGTAAGTCATGTTTCCACATTCACTCCAGGGGTACGTTCAACACTGAATACCCCTCTACATATTTTATGAGACAATAACAAAAACACGATTTTCTTGATACATAAATTAGCTTCTTTTCTTTTTCAAACATTTCATAAAGCTTAGGGTTGTACAGTATTCGTTTTTACGAAAAACGGTAGCAGCTAAGTTCAAGCTAACACTATATTTATGTACACTACTATTGTCATATCAACAATGTACAAGATGCAACATTTTTCACACATTAATAATTTTGCGATGCTCCAAAATAGTGCAAGGCCATGAGTGTATCTGACAAGCCATAAATACATAATGGCAAGAGCAGGGCAAATGGCATTGGTTTTTTAAGGCAGGCAAACGCAACCCACAAGGGGATTCAGGGACTACGTCCAAACATCAATCATTTATACAGTCATAAATTGGAAGATTTTCGTTCGTCTGACAGTCAAAATCCATTTGTATTGTTCTTGCCGAAGATACATCGTTTTAATGCAAAACACAGTGGTGCAATACTCCCCTAGCCTCATCTCAGTCTGACCTATGCGGAATGCTCAATGTCAAATCACGAGGAAAAACCCTCCCCACTTCACACTGCCTCTGCCACTTGTGTACACGTTTCTACTGAACGTGAAACAGCACCACACTTCCACATACTGCTCTAACAACTGTCTGTTGTTTGTATTCACTTTCGATGATTTGCTTTAAACGGAACAAGGCCAGCTCATTGCCGCAATACTGCGTGTTGACATGCCGAATAGAAATTTCGGTAACATTCTGCCAGGGATTCAAAGGTCAGGCAGAATAGAAAATGTACAACTGGCCCCTCCCTTCGGACATAATTGACAGACCACTATTATTTCGACCTAGTCTCCCTAATATAACCTGATTTCCTCTCCAATGGTTCTCAAGGTCAGACAGATGGCGGTTGGGGGGCACTGAGCAGCCGTTTAATGCACACGTCAATCATTTACGTCAAGCACAACCGCTCAGCCGCTTGTAACTCCAACATCTCTTTTTTTTCTTTGCGTAGAATCACATAGTAATCATCAATTCGTAGTTAGCATTGCATGGCAACAATGGTATCCAAGTAATTTGGGTTCACAGGTGACGTATATATATATATATATATCACAATTTGAGTATGAGGCAAACATCACTCGCCAACCAATTTTACATACATTTTACGTCAACCAGAACATGTGGTTTTTAACCACATCCACTCACTTCTCATTTTGCATAGTCTTCCAATCATCTTCTACATCTTTTTGTATGTTTCAAATGTTCACACTTTTTCTAAACGAAGTCAGTTTGTTGTACACGGGGACGAAATTATTACATTGATATTGCTACTTTCCAAATCACAGACGTGTCGTAGAGGCCAAGGGGCGTACAGATATTTCTATTAGAACATTTGTAGGCTGCAAACGGACAATGCTATCAAAAATATCTGACAGTCACACATATCTACTCTAGGCGTCCGATTCGATTACATACCCAATTAATACCACCCGATACGGGATGGGATAGGCCTTATATACCATATAATATATGCAATAAAATACAGCAGTGATTTTGAATCAACTTTAAAATATATTTGTACAAGGGCTTAATAATGTAGGGACATCTGTGCTTTTCTGGAAAATATTCAAAACATTTACACTATGACTATTATCAGTCCCTCTAACTTACTTCAATGGTACAGTCCTGTGCGTGTAGTCACATGCATGAATAAATAAAGGTCAAATAAATAAAGGTCGAAGTTCACTTTCATAACGTGCTGAAAAGAACAGTGATAGATCGATCTGTAGTGAACAGATATTGATATCTACAAAACTCACGCAGGCAGGGGGTGGGGCAGCGTTACAAGAATTGTCACACACCTGGAAAAATCAGGTAAAACGCCAGAAAGAATCCTCTGGGGATGTCGACAAGGTGCTATAACCCTGGCTGAAACACTCGAAGACGTAGTTTTGACCTTGGTTATTGTCCCAGAAGGTATTTCCCGGGATTTCGAAGCGCACGCACAAGTTCCACTTTCCCGCCGACTTCCATGTTGTTTGGAGCGGTAGATTGTGAAGGAGAACTTGTCGGTAGTCCCGTCTGAAGACCCGTGCACGTATTCTGCGGGCGTGTCGAAACACAGTTTCCAGTCGTTATACGTCCACCGTACACCCACCTTCTTCTCGAAATGCAAATTTCTGACTCGGATCGTGCCTAGGATAGTCATATCGGACACCACGGCGGTTTCCAAACACACGGCCTGTGTGAACACCTTGCCTAGGAACTCCCGTGCCGACCCGGGCTGGTTAAACAGCGGCGTCAGGTATCTGTGTTTCTCGATAAACTGTTTCGTGGCCTCCGTTAACTCCTCGTGACTCCGGCGGAGAGACTGTAGCACTTGTGCCGGTATTTCCGGTGGCCGCTCTCGCTCCGCATTGCTAATGACCTTGACGTCCGCGAGTTCCAATCCAAGGGCATCCGCGAAACGTACAGATTTTCGCCTAGTGGGGGAGGGCGGTGGTTTTTCGCCTACTTCCCTCAATGATTTTGACCGCTGATGTGTCTTACCTCGCTCGGTTTGCTCGGGAAGAAGGTATTTGGAACTGTGACCGAATAATTTTCTGGCCGTTTCCTCAGCCTTTGAAGGATCTATTTCGTCAAACGACTTGATATCGTTAACGTTAGCGCGGTCCTGCTTCGCTGCCGGCGGTACGACCAGGTTCTGGCCGGCCTTACACTTTGGTTTACACTGGTCCTCGGCGTCACACTCGGAGTTTTCCGCTGACATAGTTTTGCAGAACCTTGGGTCAGATTTCCAGTATGGTTCACAGACGGCACCAGAGCTCGAATAAAATTCTGGGTAAGAAACGTTCTGAGCCCTACCTTCACTTTGGCTGCAATTCTCTGCCCTCCGTAGCAACAACAAGGTGTCGATATCGCCAAGCTCTGCTGGCCAATATCACCTGCGACGTCGCCATGTTGCTCTCTCCAGTTCTGTTCCGTGTATAAATAACCCACGGCCCCGACTTTTATCATATGAAGGGACGGCGCTCTCCCATTGGCCGAGTGACGTCTGTACCCATGTAACCCCGATGACGTCAGCAGCGCGTGGTGTTTCCCGGCCGGCTTGAACAGGTAAATAGCGCCACAACCCGGCACGTACCGCACGATACCGCACACGGGGGCTGACGGAATGTTCCAGAAAAAAAGATTCGCTTTCCCTTCGGATGTGATTAAAACTGCGCTGTGTAGACATGTAGGGTTGGCGTCGGTTATCTGTGAGCCATCGGGTAGACTGTCCTGTGACCCTGTCATTTTTATGGCCAACACTGACCTGATTAAAGCTGCTAGTTAAGGGTCCCTGACGGAATGTTCCAGAAAAAAAAAGCTCGCTTTCACTTCGGATGTGATTAAAACTGTGCCGTGTAGACATGTAGGCTTGACGTCGGCTACCTGTGGTTGAGACTGTGTCCTGTGACCCCGTAAATGTGTGATTTGATGGCCAACACAGACCTGATTGAAGCTGCTAGTTAAGGGTGCCTTAAGTTTACCCCCCCCCCTTGCAAACACAAACAGCGTCCATGGATGCTATCACGTCGTTTTCTACAGCACTGGGTCAACCTGTGGTGAGGTAAACAAAAGAAGCGGACCTGGTGTCGATTGGGTGTCACCACTAAGCACAATGATCGTTAGGATGACCTTGACCCTGTGAAACAAAAGGCGGGTGCTCATATATCACCCGCGGTTGTGTACAGCCGCGTACGACGCCAGGACCGAACAATTAGCAGAGAAAATTTATGTTATCGTCGGAATTACACCGGTAAATAAATCACACGGAAACAATATGGTGTGTTATTCTAGCTCAGCAGGGCAGACGTATAGAATACCGCAGACTATGCCCACTTTCCTAACCCGGTGCTGTATAAATAACTTGGATTTTGGCATCTGGCCACAAAAAGTAAATCTTATGAATACATGTAACATATACAGACATGCACTCATGCATTTGTTTAGGTCTGTTTCCAAGGAAATAATAATTAAAGTCTTTCCCTTTACAAACGAAAATTCTCGAAAAGAAAATTCTAGAAACATCTATGAAATGAAATTCATAGAAACTTCTAGAAAAAAAGGCTTCTGTATACTAGTATATAGAAAAATCTTATGCCAAGTTTTTTGTTACAGGTACTTTTTCTCTTACACATTCTTTGCAGGACTAACGCACTGTGGGACTAGCGATAGTACGTATAGTACGACGAATATTCGAATATGCCCGTTCTACCAGGCCTAGGTTGTCGTCATGATTAATATATTTCCTGTAAGGAGATATTTCTTGATATTGATTATGCAGCTTTATTATACGTATCTAGTTTTACACACCAAACACAAGTCCGAAGATACATGTGCAATTACAAGATACAGACAGTAAGAAAATTTAATCAGAAAAGTAACCTATATTCTTGCTTCTTCGTTATGTTGAAGATGTAGGATCGTTTCAATACTGATCCCTCCGTTCTTTGTCTTTTTTTCTGTTGGGTACTTGCGCTTGCTTGTCCTCTACTTGCGTCATTAAATTGGCGATTTGTCAGTGGCGTCTGCAACGCTCCACACGTACTATTTTGGTTTGTCTCTGTAAGTAGGTCGGGCAATCCCTTGGAGTTTGCCCTCTGACGTCATCGTACAGCTGTTGTCATCGTGGGGAACACAACACTTTGCGCTCCTAGCGGCGATGCTATGTACTACATGTACACCTTGAATGTGCGTGGAACCCCTGTGTCGGCCTATATGATTAAAATAAGATCTAAATGACAGAAAGTCAAGTCCGAATCAGAGGATTTTCTTTCACGTATCTCAATTACAGTCTTGTTGTAGCGAAAATTTCCGAGCTGTTGGTACAAGCTGCCTGTACGTAAATACTAAAATGTTGATCTCTAGCTACATGTAGCACAGAAACGTAACGTTACTGGGCGACACCTTGCGACACGGGACGTTTCTCTGCTTCATTACAGTGGTTACAGCTGCATTGGTTGTGTATGTGTATGTTGATAGTACCAAATATTTTGTAAAGTACCAAAAATTTTCAACGGGAGGTTAACGAGAAATAAATGAAACACCGTTTCCGTAACCTACCAACTTTCTCTCTTCCATGTCTGAATAGAAAAGTATTTAAGTTTCAATAACATGTCATACTTTTTAAACATAGAACTGTAATAGCAACCATCCGTTCATTATATACGCCTGGTATAAGGTATGGCACTGCCGCATTGATCTTAACTGAACAAATCACACTGTCTACGTGCGATAGTGAACGTAACGGGTCCCATCATGTTCATGAGAAAAACGACGCAAGACTCCAGACAACCTGCAGGACGTCTACCCCAAATGCAGCCGGGCGTTGACCCTAAGGGTCAAGTTAACATCATTGTGCCATTTTTTATGTTGATGACTGCACCAAGTTAAGAAAGGGTGTGGCTCTCTGAGCTTTCAGTTTTATTGCAATCCCTCAGGAGCTGTTATGCACGTTTTATAGATACAAGACTGTCTTTCCCAGTGTGTCTTTTAGATACCTATAGCTAATATAGATAGATTATTTAGATACATGTACCTAATATAGATATAGATACCTAATATAGATACCTATATAGATATTAATACAGATAACTAAAATCGCCATGATATAACATAGATACCTGATATAGATAAACTATAGATGCCTAATGTCATGGAGGTATATAAGTTGAAATAGATATACTATAGATACCTAGATGTAACACAGTTGTGTTAATTGCGTGGTTTATTTTTGAGTGTGTACACCACATGGTTGTGTAATTTGTGGGTGTATTTCCGACCTACGTTTGTCTCGTGGTGTACGTGACCCTGGTCCACCGGTGACAATCAACCTGAAGGACGTCGAACCCATTATTATTCGACCTGCAGGTTGCCATTGCAGCTTCAAATGAAGAAAGGGTTTATGGCATATATATATATATATATATATATATATATATATATATATATATATATATATATATATATATATATATAT